CATGAAAATAGTTATGGATTGGTTGATTTAACTTATCCTTTTATTTATTTGTTTGTATTTTTCCTGTTTTCTATTATTCGTAAATATTTGCTTTCTATGAATCAAAAGTTAATATCAATTATGAACTGACATCAGATGGCGGGACCAAGGGAAAATGGCAACATAACATTTTGTTTGTTTAAACGTATATTCAAAATAAATACCAATTAATGTAACTGATATATATATATATATATATATATATATATATATATATATATATATATATATACATATGCATAAATACACGTACAAACTTACACATACATACATAGAGAAAAGGAGAAAGGCTACATGTAGTAATTAATTACATATCTTATTTATCATACAATCACAAGTCAACATCAGCAACAAGGGACTTCATCAGTATAATAATAATAATGATAATAATAATAATACTAATAATAATAATAAATATTGATAATAATATGGTTGTAATTCTTAGTCTCACTGAATTCTTGAAAGTTTTGCTACTAAATAACCAAATCAAGCTAACCACTAATATATTTAACCTCCTTATATAACTCTCATAACAATAGGTAATGTCAGTTATAGAAGCAATGGTAGAAGTGAAAGTTGTTGATGAATTGTGAATCGGTATGACCTTCGATTTAAGGCAGGTTATAAATCATTGTAAACATTATATACCTATATATGGATTTTTTTAGAAAGAAGAAAGTGACTAGGTTACATCGAAATTACAAGATTTACTTTATCATATGGTGTATTTTTCTTTTAAAATAAATAGAATAAATATAGATTTATTCGGTTACTATCAACTTATTATGTAATTATTATTATATATATATATATATATATATATATATATATATATATATATATATATATATATATATATATATATATATATATATATATATATATATATATATATATATATATATATATATATATCAAAGCATGCAAACATATATATATTTCATATAGATGTACATCTGTGTATACATACATATAGAATGTGCATAGGTATGTAAATTCTATGCAAATATGCGGGCATTATTTATAAGAATTTGGTAAATGTTGCTGATTAAACATGCACCGGTTAGTTATATTAAATCCAACTGTCATAAATCAACTTTGACCTCTATATAAAATGTAGATTATTTGTGTGTTTAAAGGAAATTGACTTTATCTTTGCCTTTATAATATACATATAATATGAAGTTCCTTTTAGGTATTCTAATACATGATTATTAAGCAAATTGTTTTTCTTCTTAATAATTACCACTATCAATTTGTTGTTTGTATATTTTAAGTTAAATACGGCAGACAACTGAGGTATTTCCATTTCGGATGTTAACTGGAGAATTTTTGTTTCGTCTAAGGGTATAGTGAAGATTATTGAATGTTTTTTATAGTTTTACATCATAAAAGAATTTTAGTTAGAAAATCATTTAAAACTGTGAAGTTTTGAACGATATCGATACCAATAATGGTAATGGATAAGGTTTACATAATATTGAGAATTGATTAAAGTTAAGCATATAAACTGTTAGGTATCAACTCAGTGATCTCAAACTAAAGTATTAACCCTGTTGAAATCTCTGACAAGTGCTTCTAAAGAAACGTATAATAAAATGAAAAAGGATCTCGAGTGCTTTCTAGTTTTCTAATGGTTGTTTAACCAAAGTCAGTTCGTGCAATAAAACTATGAAATTAGGGAATGATCGAATACTCAATATTGTTGAGTATATGTTTTATGGCGGTTTAGATGTGATCGATTTTCCGCACATATGCATACTTAGCTTCCATTCATGCGAGTCTGGATGGTTGGCAAGGAAAACAAATCCCCGGAGCTCTTTAATTTCATTGGTTCTCTAATTGATATTTGTTCATGATAAAAATCACTCTCAAAGTGTACAAAAGTCATCCAAAGTATCAGCTAAATATATATAATCTAACTTAACTATAGTTAACTTTTTTCTGATTCAATTGACAACAAATGTTACCTGAATAATATCGATACTATTAATCAAAATTTAATCCAAGATTAGAACTTTTTATCGACTTCAATCATTATTCAAACAAATTGGTTTGAAATAACTGTTCATAGATTTATTGGTGATATTATAATGAACCGACTTGAAGTATCACACAACTTAAAAACTAAATATATACAATATATATATATATATATATATATATATATATATATATATATATATATATATATATATATATATAGACGTACAGGTGAATGAGATCAAGTATCTACATATTTTTAGATCTTCAATCAAAATTAATTCTTCTATCTTGAAGGATTTCTTTAAGAAAAGTTAAATATCTGTCTGATAGATTAATAGAGTTGAGATTGATTAATGAGTGACTGTACAATGTGATACGTGATACCTTAAAACTATGAACTTTACACTCTCTCTTAACATAATGTAACACACACAAAAAGATCGAGACTTGCAGGCATTCTGATCACTTCAGGTCAACAGAAGTTCTGTATTCAATCACAAAACATCACCATATACCTTCAGCAAAACATTGTTTTCCAATATGAGGTTGTGGGTACTGTAGAACATTCCTAAATTAGATCATGAACCGACCTACGTTAGACAATCATTGAAATCCTGAAAGCACTGGACCGCCGTTTCGTCCTTGAATGGGACTCCATCAGTGCGCATCCACGAACTCACACTCGGGAGATGAACTCTTAACCTCTAGACCACTGACATGACGATCCAACGGTGTTAATTTCTAATCTCAATCAATCCATGATTTTGTGCAACCATCTTCGATTGTGTTCGGTGGATAACTAGCTCGCACCCAACACGGAATCGTTCACTAGAAATCCAGGGATTCCCTCTCTCTCATGTGTGGAATAGTAGATGCGCACTGATGCAGAATCACATACTAGGATGAAACGGCTGTTCAATGCTTCCACATTAATCACATTTGAGTAAAAAGATCTCTACATGAAGACAAAAAATTCTAAGAAATAAACGTGTAACTGTTTTAAAATATGACAGTATTTTGATTATTCACTTTTCTACTTCTTAAATGTGTTCAAGCATGGAAATGAATATTTTTATATTGAGATTTCAGAAAAAACGTGTACCGTGATATCGACTTATGTATGACTAGTGACTACAATCCATACCTAATCGGGATTCAGGACTAGATAACGTGACATTAGTTACCTATCAATAACTGATTGGTGTAAGCATATCAGCCATGTAGGAGATCGGTTGTAGTCTCAGTGGTTTAGTTGTAATCTATGTTATTGTAACTCTAGGTTGGTTAGATTTGGATCCTTCGTCGATTAGCGATTTCTTCAAGATTTCAAATATAGACTATGAATGTTACCCGGTATGAAATATCAGTTGAAGTTTTGATAATAATTCCTACTAAAATATCCGTAATTTAACTAATAAAACACTTGATGGTTAAATGAGTTCTACTTGTATCTAGGACAAGAGAATGAAGCATACACTACAACTGTTAAAAATAAACACATCTCTTGTTCTATCGTTTTTACAATATGACTCACTATCTTTGCCATAGAATAAGAACTATAACTGAAGAATCCTCTCTTCTTTTGATAGACAGACTTAAATTTAGCACATGATATGCACATTCACACACGTTATAACCAGATATACAATAGTCAAACATCCATATTAACAAAATCATACATAAATATTTACATTGTTATTTCGATAAAACTAATGTTAGAATGAAGAAATAAGGAAAGAGAGCGAAGAAAAACTCTTTATATAACGCATTAGTAATCAAATCAATTCATTTTAAATAATTCAGATGATTCTCACATATAAACAAAGTACTGTAATCAAGATTATAAACAATAACAACAGTAATATACAAAAGAAAACTATCTCAGGCCACCATGATAGACACTAACAGAATTTGACTCATTTCAAAGTGTTTATGTTGTTTTTCTAATAAACTACTCTTTAAAAAAACAAAACAACGGATTAATGGTTTATTTGTATAAGTATTGGGAAAATATATGCAAATTGAGTTATGAAAGCCATGATTCTCCCTTTTTTTTAAAAAAAAAACAACAAAAAAAAGAAAATTAAAAATTCCATTTGGAATTGTTTAGGTGAATAAATTTGCATCCCATTGGTCAATTCTAGATAGATAGATATATAGACAGACAGATAGACAGATATAATCATCGTGGAGCCTACCTAGTACAGATGTATACGGTGGTCCAATCTCCCAAATAAGGATTAGTGCAATGAGATGAAAAATAACAATATCAATGTAATAGATTTGTTAAGTGACTAAATAATTTTCGGCCATTAAACTTCAAATAAGATAATTAATTAGTTCAAGTATAAAAAATTTAAAAAAAAGCGTTTGTAGGTTCATAGGTGAATTTGGGATTATAGGAACTTATATTAAAAACAGGCCAAAAACTTGACAATTAACTAGTTGTATAGAAAAAAATATAGGGTATCATGAATAGATTTATAAATTTGGCTTAGAGATTATTCAAAATATTGATTGGCTAACAGTCATTTTAGGTACTTTCAAGACATTCAGAAATTTTTTGACATAATTATAGAACGCCTCCGAACAGATGATGTTCTCATTTCGTATTACTATTTAACAAACTAATGAATTATTATAAAGGACAATAACTCTTTTATTTGATTCTCATCAAAAAATACATTCACTTATTGTCAATTAATAGTCTTGTGAAGATTGTTGAATTTTCTTATTTCATATCGCAGGCTAACTTTAGTCAGAAAATTATTAAAATCATGAAGTACTGGAAAACGTTTTCGTCCTGGTACGTACTCTTCAGCAGTATGCATTCATGACCCCACTAGGGATGGAATGCAGAATCCCTAGTTTCGTGGTGAACAATTAACGGTTAGAACGATTAGATCGGTGTCCAATAGTACAATTTCAATGTCAAACAATTTATTTTGGTATTTTTATAGAAATACCTTACTTACCTTGTTTTAATAAATAATTTCCAATCAGCAAATAAAATGAATGACGAATAAACGTGAGAAGTGTTTATCCACTAGGAGACTGTCAATACTGGAATAAGAATATGACAACACTGACGGTGATTGTAACGATGACAACAGCAAGGGTAATTAATCTGTCATTTTTAAAATAAATCAAGAACAAAGAAGAAAAGGGGTTTAGAGAAGATAAAAATAAATCAATAAATAAACATTATCCTCATTGATTATCTTTGCTTTCATGTTTACCCTTTCAAAACAATTTTTATTAGTATTAATTATTTACTACTAACTCAAAACAACATTTGAGTGAGTGAATGAGTGAAGATATTATTTTTCACAGAAATTTATCAACGAAACTAAATATAAGATTTAATTGCAAAGAAACTAAACCAATTCTTCTAGGTAGGAGGGGAAGACAAATGTTGGATGATTTGATATTATAGTTATTATCATACTAATTATTATTTATTTTTCTGATTAGGAAATATCAATAAATAAATAAATAAAACGAATAAACAAATGATTATTTCTGACACAAAGAAGAAAACAAGTAGATTTGAAGTGACAGGACTATAATTTATGACTGAATCCAATCAGTTTTAAAATAGCGCCTCTTGGATTTTATGCGAAAATCACCCATTCAAATGGTCAAATAACATTCAGGCATTAAAGCTGATTAGATTGTGGTTGGAGGTAGTCGACAGAAAACCCTGGACCCGGGTTTCGTGCTTCTTGGCACTCGTCAGCAAGGTGTATCTGTAATCTTGAGGGAATTGGTGCTCCCTGGCGGATTCCATCTCATGTCACCCAGCTTCACAGTCAGAGACGTTACCACTTAGATATCCGGGCCGTGACCGACCTCCTGTAGGACTGAGATATAATCACGATTGATTGATCACTGGGTGGCGATCAATGTCATGCGTGTCTAGTCTTTATTAGTGCAGTGTCGAGTCAACTAGATTGGTGGCCACATCGCAACATTCGATCTGCACTAATAAGGACTAGATACGCATGACATTGATCGCCACCCAGTGATCAATCAATTGTGATTAAAGCTGGTGTAAGTTTCTGATGTAAACCACAACTGTAACCTGTAACACTAACGTATAACCCTTAATCGTCAATTTAATTTCTCGCACTAATTCATAACTTTACTTTGAGCCTCATAAATTGGTTTGAATTCCTCAAGGTTAGTTCGATATTGATCAAAAGTAACACATCAATTATGGTCTCCCTTCATCTTAGAGAAAAAACGGATCATTCAACAAACATTGCTTTTAAGTCGTTCAATGTGCCCAGTACTAATTGTTATTTGATAAAAGAATAATAAATTATTGTCGTTAAAAAGGTTTATTCCATTAGTCAGAACGTAGGTAGTATCGTAGATGTTAGTACCATATCCAGCCCATATGGATTATTCTGGCTACTGGACAGACCGATTTATTCATTCATTTTGACCTTGTTAATGACTCGCTTATTAGCCGTGATCGTATTTATATGAGAGTATGTGTGTATCGCTCACCCTAGCTACATGATGACATTATTATATATTCACCAACCTACAAACACTGATATTGTAAAGTGTTGACGACAATCCCAATAATCTCTCTCTCTCTCTCTCTCTCTCTCTATATATATATATATATATATATATATATATATATATATATATATTCACTCCTTTCCTGTCAATTCATGCACACAAACATACATGAATAGACAACAGAAGCAGCAGTTGGCAAGCTTCAATAATGCTGTCAACATCCTAAATGGTGTTGATGATCTTAGTAATGACAACAGTACTGATTAAAAAGTACAAAATACTCATAAATAATCTTAGAGGTGGGGGATAGATAGAGGAGGGGTTTTTTACATTAAGTATATTTTTTTATTTGATTTCTTGTTAGTTAGTGAGATTTTGACTATACGTCCTGCTATTATATGCTTTTCTTAAACCATATCACTACAACATAGGACTCCTTCTCCCATCTCACTGTTTCTCCCTCTCCTTCTTTCTCTCTCGCTATCTCTTTCTAGCCATTTTTTACTGTCAGTTGGAATTTATGCACACAGATTTTCAGTTTTTTTTTCTTTAAAGGTGAAGTAAACGGTTTAACAACTAAATAAAACCATTTTTCAGTACATCATAAATGTCATAATTGTCTATGTGTTTAGATTTATTACTAAATTACAGTTAGTCTAGTAACGGTTTCGAAATCATCTACTGCTATAATGATTCTATTTAAGTGCAATATCACTCATTGGATAATAATCCAACTCATATTATCATACTCTTAATCCCGATCAAGTCTTATTACAATTTAATTGTGAATGTGCAGATGATTAAAAGTGAATCAATCAAGATCTTGCATTATTCAGTAAATACTAATGTTTCACTATATGGAAAACAAAATCATTAATCCACTTAGATCATCTGTTTTCATTTATAAACAGCTTGTTTGTAATAACTAATCATTTTTAAGCAGTGCGGAAGTAATGATCAGTTCTAAATATTTCTAACATTTCAATATAGGTTTAACTTTTCACTAATTCACTTGACCATTTTGTAGATCGGGTTAATTTCTATTACTTGATTTACAGAAATACATGAAAGCAAATGGCTTTATGTACAATATTATAATTCAGTAGCTAAGTACCAATTCACATACTTAGCTTAGAGTTGTACAATCCTTCATAAGGGTTTATGATATTAACCGTTTGTCTAAGCCAACATAATTTAAATATAATTGATACTTACAACTTTGATTGAACATCTATAAGCTGTCGCATTTCTTCTTTATGTACTAACATTTGAGTCTAATTAACAATGTTAGATCATTAAGACAATGAACGAAATCTAGTATTTTTGTCTTCAAAAGTATTCTATATTATTATTATATTAAATTTATAGTTTATATCATTAGTGTATTTTTGATTTTTCAACAATTGTCAAAGACCATTTCATGAGATATGAGTTATGAAATCCAATTACCTGAATAAATGTCTATGGTTATAACACTATATTCATTGAATATAAATGAAATACACAAGTTCTGTTAAACTTTCCAACTAAATGTTATTCAATTGTTGAGATCATGAGTCAATTGAAGCTAGATCACCATGGAAAATATGGAAGCACTGAACTGCCGTTCCATCCCACCGTGAGATTCCTCAGCAGCGCGCATCCACAATCCCGCCTCGTGGGATTCAAACCCAGGACCTATTGGTCTCGCGCACGAGCACTTAACCACTAGACCACTGAGCCGGCCGGTATCCAATGTTGTTAATGTCTAATTTCAACCAGTCCACGAAATTGAGCGACACATTTATTACTGTCATCGGTGAGTTAATATCTCACAACTGACCCGGTTGAACTCCACTGTTTCTAACTAGAACTCCAGAATATACATCTTGAAGTCAGTCACTAGTGAGCTTCAATTGCTCATGATCTCAACAATCGAAATTACTAAAATCTCCACAATCCCCCCTTCTGATATAAATGTTATTCAGTTTTTTTTCCAACAAGAAATAAACAAAAAAAAACAATTCCATATGATGACTCATCTGGATTGTCTATGTTCAATATTGTCCTATTTAGTGGACAAGTTAAAGTCCATTATTTAACCCAGCCAGTCAATCAGTTAACCAAATCATGAATGGATTAACCAATTAAATTCCTGAAACATTTTTTCTCGTTTCTGTCAAATCTAGTCCATTACAAAGTAATTACACTGCTGTATTACTTTACTGTAAAATTGGATTTCAATTTGTTGTTGTTGTTTTTTGGTGCTTTTTTTCATTATAGAAAACTAGTTGTCTAAACGAGGCAGAAAATTAATTAACTATCTATAATGAGTCAACTTCTCTGAACAAATTTATCCCTAATGTTAATCACAGACTATTCCACACCAATGCATACATACATACTATCACACGCTATTTTGTCTAAGTTATTGTTATTATATGAAAATAAAGATTAAAAAAAAGAAACGACTAGATTGTTCATGACTCAGTATGTCAAATTTCGGTTGGAATATATTCGTTTGACGTTTATTCTCCTTTCACATTTTCATCTCCCTCTCCATCTCTCTCTCTCTTTGCTCCTCATTTAATTTACCCTACTTTCCTGTTTCGTTAGACTAGTAAAACGGTTCAATAAAATATATACCTACATATTTATAAAGTCAAATGAACAATTTGTTTTGCACTGCGCCTAAACTCTTTGAAAGGGCATAACTAAGCCCACAAATGAAGATTATTAAAAATAGGCGCTCGCTAGCTAGCTCATACACACACACACAGAAAGACATGCAAATAGAAAATGTCGTTTTTATGGAACAATGAATACAAAACTAATCATAGATGATATATTGTTTCTCGTCTTTTTCTTTAACATTTATAATTGTATATCCGAAACTTAAGAACAAGTAGAAATCCATATAGATACACATATACAAACATACATGCATACAAACTATCTGGAAGACAAGTTTAATCCGCTTGTTGACATGAGAATCGAATATGAGAATTGTTTTAAAAGGATGGAAAAGTTCTTTATCTCAGTTCTTTTCCGCCTTGAATCATTATTTCCAAAATCTAATTTAAGTGAAATGAAAAATTCGAGAAAAGATGTAAAGTTGAAACAAATCTCTGAGACGATTGTAAATAAAAACTGGCAAAGAATCTCGTAAATTAATCACTGAAACATACTGGTATTGAAGTAATAAGTGATTAGTAAATCCTCCCGGTTAAGTAATACATCGTAATCTATTGGTTAAGCTACATAACCGTTGGACACCTTTGATATTACAAGTTTTAAATCAGCTAACAAGCTGGTTTTCCATCCAACCGCAATAATTTTATTAGGTAAAGTGAATCAGTAACTGAGACAGTAATCGTACTCCGAATACACTAATTTTAATGATAAAGTGTCTGGTTGTACCAATGAACTATTTTTTGTTATAGACTAGTATCATATAAAAATCTGTTCAAAAACTTGATGGCTTCATTCCAGTTTATAATTCTTCTTTCGTATGAGCCCAAGAATTTCTAGCCTTGTAACAGTAAGGTAACCTTGAAATTACTGAGTTAAAATTCATTGATCGCTATTCATAACTGTAAAGTTAATTGGATC